TGGCATAAGAACTTGACATTTTACATAGAGAGAGAAAGGGTAGAAGAAGAGGAATGTTAATTTGGGATCAATGTAAATAGATGTGTGCTGGGGGTTTTAAATTGGGATCGGTGTGTGTAAGAGAGAGGGTAGAAGAAGAGGAATGTTAATTTGGGATCAATGTAAATGGATGTGTGTTGGGGGTTTTAAATTGGGATCAGTGTAACTGGTTGGTAAAGGGAAACCGGTGAAAAGCATTTATATCTATCTATATCTATCTATCTATATCATATCATATCATCATATCATATCATACTATACTATAAAAGAAACATTTTTTCTTTCACCACATCAATTTGAAACTCCCAACTCTTCATATTTCCATATAATTTACTTAATTTATTAACTTAAATATGTTGTTAGTTATAAACATTATCATAAATGAAAGACTTCTTGAATTATCAATATGATATACTAAATTTGTTGACTTCAATATAGTGTTAAATACATAACTTAAATCAATATATTAAATAAACCTAAAAATATAGTGTAAAAATTAAAACCTAAACTAAAATATCAAATAATGTTTTAAAAATTCAACGTATATTTTTTAAAATAGTTAAAAGGAAAATATTAAATACGATAAATATAAAAATCTTAAATCTAAAAGTCGAATTAACTAAAAGATGTCCAAAAACTATTTTTTTTAATAACTAAAACTCAATTAAGTTGTTTTTAAGTAAATTTATATTAATAATTAAAAATAACATAAAGTTGTAAATTAAATTATGTTACATTACAAACAATAGTTGTTAATTTAAATAATTCAGGGAGTATTTTTTTCTTTTACCACATCATTTTAAAACTCCTAACTCTTCATATTTCCATATAACATATTTAATTTATTAACTTAAATATGTTGTTAATTATAAACGTAATCATAAACTGAAGACTTATTGAATTATCAATATGGAATACTAAATTTGTTCACTTCAATATACTGTTAAATGCATAACCTAAATTAATATATCAAACAAACTTAAAAATATAGTATAAAGTTTAAAAACTAAAGTAATAAAAATCCAACATATGTTTTTTAAAATAGTTGAAAGGAAATTACTAAATACGATAAATATAATAACTAAAATTCAATTAAGTTATTTTTAAATTAATTTATAATAATAATAATAGTTAAAAATAACATGAAACTATAAAATAAATTATTTTACATTAAACGCAGTGGATTATAATTTAAATAATATTCATTATGAAAATTAAAACATCATCAAAAAAATTTAAAATTTAATAAATTATAACAATAGTTAATTAAAATAGTGAGTACTATAACTATATTTTTTTGGAAAGAGAACTTTCTTAACGGGGGTTCCATGCCCGAATAATCTCTCGATGCAAATATAAGGCTATGTATTATGCCCTGGAGTAGTGCGATAATTTAAATATGAGTTAATAATTTATTCATCATATCTTCCACATGTCTTACTAAGTCACCACAACTAATTTTATATACACGTAAAGCATGAGCAGAGACCATTAAATGATTTCATTTTAATAAGTGTTATATTGTTTATTGTGCAAATTAATTATAATTTTGCATCAACTAAATGTAATTATTATTATTTTATAGTTAATAAAAATGACATAAATACTTTCAATAACGTATGATTACAAAAAATTTAACCGTATAATTTTATTCTGCGCAACGCACGGATATTCGTCTAGTATATATTTATAATAGTGATATTTTTTCTTCAACCACATTCATTTGAAACCTCCAACTTTTCAACTTCTTTTTAAATTAATACCTTACATCCAATATTATTGTAATTTCAATATTAATTCTTTATTCTCAGTATAATATATAGTCTATTAATCTAAATATGATGTTAAATTCAAAACATAATTTTTATAATATATTCAAAACCTATTTTTTTTCTAAATAGTTAAAATGTTTAAATATAAGATCTAAATAAAAATGTCAAATTAACAAAAAAAAAATTGATTAAAATTTACTTTATATAATAATAAATTTTTCCTCAAAATAGATAGTTTAAAATAAATTAAAAATATCAAAAGTTTAAATATAATATTAAATATAAAACATGTATCAAAAGATAGTTTAAAATTTATTAAAAATAATAAAAGTTTAAATAAATATAAAACATACATCGTAATTCTAAACTCATACACAACCTCTAGATATATTTCATTGAAATAATATCACATAAAGTATGTCTATCTAAATTGAGTTTATTTTTATTTTCACGGGTAGCAGCTATTGAGATGATGCGAATTTAAATAAAATAATATGTGATCTATTATTTGATACTCATAAATCTATTACGAAAGTAATTTCGTACACACATGTTTGATAATGTTTATCATTTATTTAAAATACTTAGAATGTTTTATAATAAATTAGTGTAAGAATTATTATTTTAAAGTTACTAACAAGAATATAGTTATTTTAATAACATATATTTATTAATATTTTAATTATAACTACACATCATGCGGAATATCGCCTAGTTAAATGAAATAAAATGGGCAAATGTGAAAAAAAAACGACTTTGGGCATAACTTTTTTTTTTTTTTTTGTAAAATTAGGGGCTTTGAAGCAATAACCCTAATTATAATCTTTTCTTCTGAATAAATATCTGAACAACAAAACACCATATTCGGTCCGACATCTAACATTGTTGTGCAAGGATTAATATGTGTAGATATTCTGCAATCAAAATGAGAAACATAAACAAAAGAAGAAAAAGAGACCAAAGTCGTCGACGTATCAAAGAAACTTTTGGGGTTTGGGCTTTGCCAGCGCCCAAAGAAGCAGATGGGGGAGGGGTTTGGGATGGGTGGGGGTGAATATTGGAGTTAGAGATGATTGGGGGAGAAGGAGAGAAGACGAAGGAGGTGATAAGGTGAAGGCAGGTTTGGAGAATGGAAAGGCCAATTGTTACCTCTTCTCTCCCAAAATGATTTGCAACAATTTCAGCCCCACCCTCATTCCTTTCCAACGTCTGGTTTATCTCCGACAGCACCACTCTTTCCGGCGTCAGGTCCATCTCTGGCAACAACTCTTTTCTAGAGACGCCTCTCCTTCCAGTCACGTTGTCTAATTCCATTCCTTACTATGTTTATCATTTAGCATGCCCTTACCCTCCTAAACTTGTTAGCCTCCTGCTCAACTACCACACAACGATGAGTGATCGCCTTGCTGGGAGCCTACCTATTACTGGTGGCAGGAGGTATGATGGTGGTGGTGAACTTGATGGAGATTCAACAATGGAGGTGGAAACAAACGATGACCTAACATTGTTAGGGAATTTGTTAAAATTTTATGGAATGACCCCCGAAGTTATGAATTGCTATCAAATAAAGCAAGGAAATTAAAAATGTGTGTATTGGTAATTTCACATGCATTTTAACGGTGGAAAATGATGGGGGTTAAGTCCCCAAAGACCTGATTGTTACAAAATCTTTCAATAGGGAGTAGGGACCGTCGGTGTTAAAACTCAATATAAAGACCAAAAATATTAAAAACTACCAACAACAAAAACTAAAAATTTAATGTACTATAGATTTTAGTATAAGATATGTCATTATGCTGCGGGTGTGTTATTATGGCCTCGGCGTGGCTGAGGTGGCCTTTGTGCACAACGTCCCCTTGACCTCGACATGCCGATGTGAGAAGCCCTTTCGTTGACCAGGTATTGATTCTCTTTCCTTTTTGATTTCTTCTTATGGATAGAGCTTTTTAATTGAAAAATCGAACCGAACTAGAACGAAATAGTGGTATTTGATTCAAATTTCGGTTTTTTCAGTTCCGAACACCTTGTTAGATAGCACATTTTTTAGTAGAATCGATATGAACCGGAACCGAATAATGGTATTCGGTCCGATTATCGATTCTTAGTTTATGATTTATTTGGTTTTCGGTTTTTTCGGTTTCGGTCCAGTTTACATGCCTACTATTGGTGATTTGTATCGCTAATATTATTTAAGTGTAATGTTATTAATTTGTTGATCAATGTTGTCTTGATAAATATTAAATAAGTTAAGGTGGTGCGGAGTGTATATTTGTTTAAGTTTGTATTGGTTGAAAGTACACTGCTATTTAGGGGCGAAACCCCTAAACCGATAAAGGTCTGGAGGCAGCGCCCCTAGGAGTGGGGTCCAAGGGGTGGCAACCCCTGACATCCAAGGGGTAGAGCCTCTGACAATTTATGACAGGTTATTGTGGTTGTGAAACTGTTTTATAACAATTTTATGATAGTTTTACATGTCAGGTTTCAGACAAAGGTTATATGTTTGTTTTTGATCATTTTTCCGGTACACGTAATATCATATCATCTTCTTCATTATCTGTTCTTGCAATATTGAGTTTTATCGGATTAAAACAATTAGAGAATTTTGAATGTACCCTCAAAATTCTTTAATCTGAAAGTATTTTCACAACTCTCGGCAAGCCAAGTCTTCTTAACCCCGATTTTCTAACACCTACTTCTTCTTCTCCCCCTCGGCAACCCACCCCCTCACTTCACTTCTCTGTCTCTTCTTGGAGATATTCATCTTCTTTGCTAGAGTCGAACGGTGAGCAGATCACTATTCCCCTCATCCTTATAAAAATCTTGTTAATATTAAATTTGTTATTTAGGGGGTGTTTGGATAAATTAGATTATAGCTTATTAGTTTATTGCTTATTAGCGTATTTACAGTGGGAATAAGCAACAAGCAAGAGGGAAGATGCTTATTAAAATCAGCTTATTTAGCTTATCCCTACCACAATAAGCTGATTTTTAAGGATTTTTATCCAAACACTTAAACTTAGCTTATTGTGATGGGAATAAGGAATAAGCAATAAACACCTTTTTTTTTTTTTTCCCTATCCAAACACCCCGTTAATATGTGTGAATATTAATTTCTAACTCTTTATTAACAAGCTTGATAAACATATAACGATAGTTCGTTATGCAAATTACGATTTAATTAATGTTAAAAAACTTAGAATTTAATGCATATATTTTTAACTCAAGAAGCAATCGCCAGCCATAAACTCATCTTGAGAAACAAAATTGAGAAAACTGCGGCTTGAATAGATATCCGAATCTTTGATACTTCCGTTTACATCTCGATTCCTGATTGCTTAGACAAGAACAATAAGAGAGTCAACGATGGGAATCGTTGGAAATCTGAGTTCTGACCAGCTTCAGTTCTTCAATTCTCAAGGTACTAGCTTCTTCTTCTTCTTCCTCCCCCAAACCCTAACTTCTTTTCCCTTGATGGATTTTAACTTCAATATGCGCTAATATTACAGGGTATCTTGTTATCGAATCTTTCTCGAGTACTGAAGAGGTTGAAGCGTTACGAAAGAGGATGGACCAGTTGCTTGATGGCTTTGATTGCTCTTCCTCCGCCTCAATTTTCTCCACCAAGAACCAGGTCCATTTTATTGCTTGAAATTTTTCAAAACGTATCAACATGTTTGATTGGTGTTATAGATTAAAAAAACATTCATTGTTAACTTCCAGTTTCTTCATGCTATGTTGAATTAGGGAATATACCAAGAATTAACAGTGTTTCTGATTCAAATCATGATAAAACCCTGTTGAATTTTGAGTTAACACGACTTGTTCGATAAAATCTTATTCTCCCCAATTGAATGACCTTTTGCTGTTTATTTGTTGTTCAGCAAAGGACAAGCGATGACTACTTCTATGACAGCGCTGATAAGATTTCCTTTTTCTTTGAAGGTATATGTCATATCTTGAACATGATTCAATTGATCTTTCTGACTATTAATCAAATTACTTAACATATTTTTTTTGACAGAAAAAGCATTTGATGATGATGGAAAGTTAAAGCAACCAAAGCAGCTCTCTATAAACAAAGTTGGCCATGGTATGCGCAAAAAAAAAAAAATATTTTTTAACAAACATGTAAATTCACCACTTTTAATCTAATATCATGTTTCTTAATCTCCCTTTTGTAGCTTTACACGATCATGATCCCATTTTCAAAAAGGTCTCTTGCTCGGATAAAATGTCAGGCATACTACAGTCATTGGGATACAAAAGGCCAGTAATCATTCAGTCAATGTACATATTCAAGGTATATTATCCATTAAGAAGTTTTTCTACACATTTCCAAATTCTTTTTAAGTATTTTATTTTTTAATTTTTTTTTTTTTGTGATTTCAGCAACCAGGTATAGGTGGTGAAGTGGTTCCTCACCAGGACAATTCATTTCTATACACCGATCCACCAACTTGCACAGGGCTATGGCTGGCTCTAGAAGATGCCACCATTGTTAACGGTTGTTTATGGGCAATTCCCGGGTCCCACAAAAGTGTGTGTTTTCATCTTTTTTAAAATCTCTTGAATTGATTCGTAATAATTTAATGTTAAAAAAAAAAAATTCCAGATGGCCTTGTGAGACGATTTTTGAGAGATGATAAAGGCGTTCACTTTGACAAGCCCTCCCCATCTTATGACCAAAAAGATTTTGTTTCCATTGAAGTGAAAGCCGGATCTTTGGTGCTTATTCATGGCGATCTTATTCATCAAAGGTTGTTTTTTTTTTTTTTTTTTTTTTTTTATAATTATAAGACGATATTATTTGTTTTTAACTTATTGGGCTTAATGGTTTAAGCATTTATGGTTTATTCAGTCTAGAAAAGAAACAAACCTTATGTATATAACCCCTTAATCTTGGTTGTTGTTGTTTGTCAACAGCTTTGAAAATCAATCCTCAAAATCAAGGCATGCTTATAGTTTGCATGTAATAGATACAGAAGATTGCAAATGGGCTGCAGACAACTGGTTCGTGTTTTTTTTTCTTTAAAATAAAATTTTAAAATGTCATAAATACAGTATTTTTGTGAAGTTTTTATGTATAAAGATATGTCGGATGAAAATCTTGAATGTGATGATGATGAATTTTGATTTCAGGATTAGAAGGAATGTGGATCCTGAGCCCCTATATGTATCTTAGTTTTGAGCTCTTTGATCTGAACAGTGGAATTATACACATTTTAGTATGCATCCTTTTTTTCTGGGTATGTTTGTAATAATATGCTACGAGATCTTCCTTCGATTAACTGAAACATGTTTTAGGAAATCTTAGCATTTGTTGTTTAGAATATTTCAGTGAATATTAAACAATATTAAGATAGATGTTTATTGTTATCTAGAAAATTGGTTCATAAACAAGTGTTTGCAGGATAAAGCTTGTGTATTGAGTAACCAAAACAGGGAATACAAAGTTATCTTTACAATAACCAACGATTAAACGAATATGAACACGCTCCAAAATTTCTGAAGTAAACAAGTGTGGGAACAACACCAAGGTACTGTTTGTTTTTTCAAAGCGAAAAGTCATGAAGTCTGTGGACCATCTCTGCAACCCTCCGCAGCAGAAGAGGTGAACCAAACGGCTGCAGTCTGTGATAAGAACCATGTTTGTTTCTTAACATTTGCAGGCTACTGCAATAAACTGGAATTTAAATAAATTGATTTTACAAACTGAAAATAGTTCACAACATCGAAATTTTTATAATTTTAGTTATAAATATTGAAAGAATATTAAAAAGAACAAATATAAACTTTTAAAAAAAATCTAAAAAATATAAAAGAAGCTATCAGTATTTTTTTTTATTTAAAAAAAACTAATTTTAAAGAACATAACAAAGAAAATTATAAAAAAATTAAGAAAATATTGCAAACAATGTTTAGAAAATTCGTAAAAGACTCACACATGTTAAAAAAGATGCAATTGAAATTGAAAATATTATTAAAAGAAACGGTAAAAAAGTTCAAAAAAAATCAAAGTTTTTTGAAAACATCAAGTTATAAAAATTTGTGAAAACTATAAAAATAAATTGTATCAAATCCGTAAATCAAAGATTTAAAAAAAAATCAAGTCATATCAAATTTCTAAAAAAATCACTTAGAAAAAATAAAAGTTGAAGATGTTTGAAGAAACAAATCAAGTGTTATTTGGAGCAGAATACGTGCAAATTATTTGTAGTCTAAAGCCTTCCAAAAAACAAATTGTTGATGGAAAATATTGTGCATATGCTGCACCGCACAACACATAATGGTTTGAAGAAATTTTTCTAAAAAAATAAACAGCCTCTAACAACAACCTAATTTCGGCCATAAAAGCTTACTTTTTATTTTCTTTTTGAAATGACAGAAAGTTCATTGAAAAACTAGAAAAACACTACTAGAAAAAAACACCCCAAAGATAAAATAACAATTATAAAAAACATATGTGAATATAATATGTAGTTCAAAGGTTTATATAAACGACAAAGAACATTAAAAACAAAAAAGTTGGTAAGACAATGACAACTTGTATTAAACTATCAACATAATCTAACAAAAGTATTAAAATAAAAACGAAGAATACATTGTTCTGATCTTAAAACATTTCCGAATGTCGGCTTAGATTATGTAAACTTGCATCGCTGTGGTCCATATCAACCTAACATGCCCGATTATATTTTCGAAGTAATGAAGGGTAGTAAAGAAAACAAAAGGAGGGAATGTGAACGATCTTGGGCAATTAATGCAAGTAAAAATGCCTCATAGTAGAGTTCCAAAATGATGAAATGAGCTAATGATATTAAAAAATATTGGAGCAAAGTGAATTTCTAATGCCATTATATACTATTCTAAACTTATGGAAGAGCCGGACAATATTGAAAATGATATAGAATATTGCAAGATTTTATTGGTGGTAAAACATTATATTTTTTATAATTTTCGTACCTTTGGCTGTGTTAGTTGTTAATTAATGTAACATGTGGTGTAATATTTTTTGATGAGTTTTGGGAAGCCAAAAACGATTTTTTTTTTATAAAAGAATTTTAAAATAATTATTATTTTAGTACCATCTTAAACAAAACCACCAAGGATCCAATTACATGATTATATAAAGATTATAAACAACACATAAGATTTTTAGAATGCATCATTTTAAGACTTTGATTCTTTTTGGCAATTAAGGAGCTGATGAAGATGACAAAAGCCCAAGATAGAGCTTCTCTATAATGTATCCACCAATAAGATTAAGTCACAAAAAATGCTAGTTCTTTTCTTGTAAAAATACTTCTTAAGCCTTTAAGTACATATCACAAATAAGTACTAAAGAAGAAGCACTTCCAAAGCAACAAAACTCTTTACTAACTTCAAAAGAGAGCAAGACAGGAAGAGATAGGGAAAGCTACGAATTTTATAAGAAAAAAGAGAGAAAAATTAAACGCTAAAGACAAAATTGCAAAAATGGTCCTTGTGGTTGGCAAATTTATGTGCTTTTGGTCCAAAACGAAACGTTGGTGCACCACTGGTTAAATTTTAGATACCTTGTGTGGTTTTGGTCCATATGGTTGTATTTTCTTGTGTTTTTGGTCCACTTCACATCTAAAATGACTAATATGCCCCTTAATAATTATATCTTAATTTCTTTTATTTATTTTCTTATTCTTATAATAAAATGAAAAACGAAAACAATAAACCCACCACACACACACACACACACACACACACACACACACTCTCTCTCTAACCGGACCACCCTCTCTACCACCATACCACACAAACACAATTATTAGTGTTCTCCATCTTCTTCCCATCAACCCTTTTACAGATGGGTACAGCTGTGCCATAACCCAAAAACTAAAGAACACACATCCATTTCACAGTGTACAGACATGAAAACTCTTCATCTTCATCAGATTTTGACGTTAATGTGAACGCAATTTAAATTCCGGCAACCATTTTCAGAAGTCCTTGAAGAATAGCAGCCAAATGAACGCCATAAACTCCGATCAACCAAAAATCAATCCCTAAACATAGAAATGATATGAAATACACAGACAAAATTGAATTTTTAGAAATTGATTGTTCTTGAAAACCCATTACCCATAAGCATTTTTAGATTCCAAAATCGATTTCCAATTCTAGAAACAAATCCAGAAATTCGATTATTCTAGAAGAGACAACCCTGAAAATTGATTGTTCGTTTGTGTGTGTGTGTGTGTGTATGTGTTAAAGAGGGGTTGTATACTCATCTGTGACCCCACTGCAAATCATCAATGGGTTCAGACATGACTTTGACTCATCGGTGGACCATAAACCATTCACCACCACTCATCGATACATTTAACCGAGATTAGGGTTGAGAAGGAGATGCAGGTGTAGATCAACAGAAGAGCCTACATCCAGATCTAAATTCGTCATCAGAGTTTGAATGTAGGTCTTGACCCAGTTTGGGTTTAAATTCCCTCATCGTCTTTGTTGATCCAGTTGGTCGCTACTTCCCCGGTGTACAAACAGATCGGTGGCGTCGGAAGGTTATCGGGCGGCATCTAGCGGCGGACGGTGTAGGTGAATGGTGGTGGCAGTCGAGGTGTTCTTGAGAGAGTGAAAGAGATGTAAGAGGGGTAGAAGAGATGAGAGGTGCCACCGGTGATGAGAGAGAGAGAGAGAGAGAGAGAGAGAGAGAGAGAGTATGTGTGTGTGAGTGAAAGAGAGTGACAGAGGGATAATGGGATATTCTATAATTTTTAATTACTAAAAATCATTAACATTAATAAAAAAATTAAAAAAAACAATAAGAGGGGCATAATCGTCTTTTTTAGTGGCTAGGGACCAAAACCGATAAAAAGATCCAATTTTGGACTAGTGGTGCACCAACGTTTCGTTTTGGACCAAAAGCACATAAATTTGCCAACCACAGGGACCATTTTTTGCAGTTTTGTCAACACTAAATCTAAAATGGAGGCCTTACTCTATCTTTTATACTTACACTTATCTAAGACCCATGCTTTCAACTAATATAAAAGGGATTGGACTTAGAAGCATGATACATGGAAGAACTAGTCAAACAAGCAACACACACCCACGCTTGGTGAGTTATGGGTGAAAATGACGAGAGAGTTAAGATGGTTAAGTGTCTTACATATCATCTTATTAAACTAGTGTATATAAAAGTCTAGTGGAATCCTAAGTTTTCAAAAACTTATACATAAGATATTTAATCATAGCATATGATTAAATAGCTAGTTATACTCTCTAAAATATTATTTTTCATAAAATAATAGTTTCCCAAAATTATTTTCACAAAATAATAACTTTACTTCAAAATTAGAAACAAGAGTTGAATATATTTATTAGATTAAGTTACAGAAATGGTCCCTATGTTTTGGTCAAATTTGTAATTTTGGTCCCTAAGTTTAAAAAATGATAGGTTGCATCCCTATGGTTTATGAATATTGCAGTTTTGGTCCTTACTTCATATATATATATATATATATATGAAGACTAACTTACCATTCCTTTTTCTTTTTTCTTTTTCTTTTAACAGTTTATTATTATTATTATTATTATTATTATAATATAACAATTTTATTTGTTCCTTATTTGTATAGATTTCTTACAAAATTATTTTTATTTTTTTAAATTAATTATCTAAATTATATATATATATATATATATATATATATATATATATATATATATATATAATCTAAATTATATATATTATCATTTATTCTTAGCTTTATTTATTTATCTTTGTTTTTGTAATTTTAAAATCTTTCAATATTTATGACATCTTATTCGAATATACGATTTAATATATTTTTTATGTTTTGTTCGTTCACATCATATAACATTTTTTTTAGACAAAACTTCAAAAATGGTCCCTGTGGTTTTTGAAAATATCAAGTTTAATCCCTAAGTTCAAAAAACCTCACAGATGGTCCCTATGGTTTCAAAACTTTTAACATTTGGTCATTCCGGCTCACTCCGTTAGCATTTCATCGTTAACTCATTCTTTAATTTTATATTGCAGGGGTAATAATTTCGTCATTTCAATTGTTCAATCTCCATAGCCCTACGCCTCATCACTTCTCCTTCTTTGCTCACCAAAACTCTCCTGATTGCACTCTCGATCTCCCCTCTCTCCACAACCATTTCCAAACCCATCTTCCAGACATAACTCAAATACCTAGCATTCATCATTTGATCGATACTACACGGTTGGCACAACATTGGAACCCCTTCGCATACACTTTCCAGGGTCGAATTCCAACCACAATGGCTCCAAAATCCTCCAACTGCAGAATGTGCCAATACATCCTTCTGGGGTGC